ACTGAACCAGAAGGTTGTTAAGCACTAGGCTAGAGACAGAGGCTGCCATTTGTGGTCGTGTATGAACGTGGTAAGCAGAGGCAGCTTGTCTGCAGGGAAGTGGAAGGAGCAGAAGAGTGGAGAGGGGTCAGGAATTGGAAGCACTGACAGGAAAACTAAAGAGCTCTCTTAATTCGGAGCCCACTGCCCATTTTCTTGAGATACAGCCAACCGTCATTGCCTGGGAGCTCTGTAATATCAGGATAGATCTTTCTTCACTTGAGCTAGTGGGTGTCTGTTCGCTGCTACCTAAAAGACCCAATCTAGAACAGAAACTATCTACAAAAGCACAGTTAAAACCAACAGACCACTGGACAAAATGTAGAAGGTTGGTGAATGCATGGTTATAGATGGAATAGAATCACATTAGGTAAAGGTAATCCTTAGAAAGTTATGCCTTCTGTATAAACATTATAAGCAAACTATTTCATTGCTTACCTAACTTACTGCCCTTTCCAGAGTCCATGAAAGAGACAAGACTAGAAAACAAGGACTTGTGCTCCTGTCAGTAAGATAACTGACCAGCAATAGACGTCTGATTTGCCCAGTCAAACTACAGGTTAACTGTAGGTTAAAACAATAGGTGAAAAAGTCATCTAGAGATATAGTCGTAGCAGGCTGGTAAGCCCAGCATAACACACAGAGAGGGCTGACAGTGGCAATACTGGCTATTACACAATACCAGTAAGTAAAGTGGGCTATAGAGAGAAGACTGGAGAGCAGACATTCAAAAAGAAACAAGGATAAAGAGAACAGGTAATCTCCACATGACAGAAAGAACAGCCTCTGGCTAAGAAACTCAAGTTCCCAAGAGGCCTGACTGAGCTTTCTTCCTTTGCCATTGGATGTCTGGAAATTGCAATAGCATCTTCTTTCTTGAATGCTGAGTTAAGTGAGTTTTTGTTCCTTATACTGACTGAAGGGAAAAGACTGGAAGAGACAGTACATGTATAGTAAGAGTGAAAAAGAAAGTATTTGATGTAGATGGAGGAAACAATAATTTCAATCCAATAATTCTATATAATGAGCTGGCATCAAAACTTAATAAACAGCTTTATTTATAAATAAGGAAAAGATGGTAACAACTTCAATATTCAAATATCTGCTAACTAAACCATGAGGCTTTCATATAGGCAATACTGAGCAGCCGTGAGACACTGTAGAAAAGTGTATATATCCCTTTCTACTCAAAACTCACAATCCCTGGTTCAGAAACCACACAGATTCAGAGAGCAATGGATACTTGTATTCAATGACAGAGAAAGATGTTCATGATATATTAAATTAAAAAAGGTTACAAAACAATATATACTGTATTTTTGTTAAAGGAGCACATTTACATATATTTGTATATGCACATAAAAATGAAACTGTCTCTACACTGCTTATGTTTCTGTCTGTGATTTTCAATCCCAGCCTAACTTCTTATAATCAATAAAAACTCTCCTAAAAAATTAAATACAGATTTTCTTTTGGAGAGCGTAAGGTAGGATTTGGAAAACCAAGTCCTAGCTCCACTACAAGATTGAGCAGTACTATGGCTAAAAAGCAAGCAATAAGGAAGAAAAAAAGAAAGATGAATGAGATAATGAGATAAAGAAGGCAGCCTGAGGCTTTATACTGGCCTGAAGTCCCTCTTGCCCATAACAGCCACTCGCTAAAATATGTTTCACTAGAGCCAGGCCAGTGTCTTCACTGCCCTGCTCCTTACTCATTTTCATTTATGTCTTCCATTATGCTTGCCAGTCATTCTAAATCCCCCAAGTGTTAACTGGCCTCTGCAATCCCTCTGCCATTCCAAGCAACAGTGATTTCTCTCTTCCCGGCAACCAGGTATATTTTCAAATTCAGAGATCTACTTAAGAGAATCACTCAAAATTTCTAAGGTTGTAGTTAGTGCACTCGAGTGCCAGGTAAATAGCTTCAGATGGTTAAAACGGCATTTTGCCGCTAGTCCGATTATATAAGTTTAAAGTGTGATCAATATGCATGACATGTCCACTACTCTAAGGATTGTTGTTTAGTCTCCAAGTTGTGTCCGACTCATTTGCGACCCTGTTTGCTAGTCCTAGCAGGACTAGCCTGCCAGGATCCTCTGACATTGGGATTTTCCACACAAGCATACTGGAGTGTGTTGCCATTTCCTTCTAATGGGGATCTTCCCAACCCAGGGATCCAACCTGAATCTCTTGCACTGGCAGGCAGATTCTTTACCACTGAGCCACCCAGGGAAGCCCTTCCATAAGGATCCCTTGAGTATAAACTAGAGAAGCAAAAAGATAAAATGGCAATAAAAAAGCAAAAATCAAATAATTTGTGTTGTATTCTATCTAAGAACGGACTTAATAAAGGAAAGCATTGTTAGTGAGTCAGATAGCCTAGGCTAGTTCACTCACCACCCACTCCTAACCACTTTTCCCTTGTCTTTCTCTATTGCAAAAGTCAGAAAACGAAATCTTTCAGGCTTTAAAGTTGAGAGTGGTGAGAAAATTTTGGCCAAGGAGATAAGCTCCTGGGGAGGGTTTTTCTTCCTGTTTTGCCCTTCCAGCTGCTTATAATATGTACATAATGCCTGGAGATACAACAGCTATTTGCAACCCCCAAAATGAAAGCAAAACAGAAAAAAAGGGAAAAGCCTAAGTCCCTGCTGATGTTGGTGCTATACAGTCCCAGTATGTCCACACCCAGACTACTTGTTAGATGAGAAAAATAAACCCCTATTTGTTAGAGTCACTGTACAGGAGGATTTTGGTCCTTGCAGCTGCAGGCATTCCTGATACAGTAAGCAGGGAGCTTAGAAGAGTGTTTTAGACTACCTTTTCTCCCCAACACATAAGAGAGCCAGAACGCTTTCCCTTCATTAAGTTACTCATTACAACATTGATTCTTAGCCTGGTAGGTATCCGAACGTGGGAAGCAGAGAAGACAGTGGTCGGGAACCATGGTAATCACCGAAGTGAAAGTGAAGTCGCTCAGTCGTCCGACTCTTAGCGACCCCATGGACTGCAGCCTACCAGGCTCCTCCGTCCATGGGATTGCCCAGGCAAGAGTACTGGAGTGGGTTGCCATTGCCTTCTCCTGGTGATCACCAAAGCAATGTCTCTTAAGCACAGGTCTGGGAGGCCATTCAGTTTGGTCCCTCCAGAAAAATACAACATGGATCTTTCTGTTTTTCTACTCAAGTTTCTCCTTTCTTTCAAAATCAATTCTTCCAAATTTTATTCCCTATAAAACAGTCATTAAGAAATTATTTAGGTAACTATACAATAAACCTCTCATAGTAACCATTCTATTAAAAAAAAAAAAAATCTTAACCCCAGAGAAATAAAACCCAAATTTCTGTTTTAAAGGCATTTATATATACAGGCATTCTATTACTATATTTATCATGGTTATAAAAACCCTGGTACTCTGGAATTCAATTATGTACAGATGCCCACAACAGCTTATTTTCCAGAGATAATATAGCTCTTACACTATTAATCACTCTCTCAACGCATTTTACAGTTCTTTTGATTTTCTGCATTTGGGAAATACAGGCTATCTTCAAGTTGGCACATTTCCACAAATTATCCATAGAAAGAACTTATACTCAAAACTAAAAAACATCCCCACATATGTTCTTTTACTTTACTAAGCTATAAAATGTTGGTTAAGAAATTTCCAGGCCAGAATCACTAGGTATTTGAGATAAGTCAAAGTCACTCAGTCATGTCCGACTCTTTTTGACCCCATGGACTATAGTCCATGGAATTCTCCAGACCAGAATACTGGAGTGGGTAGCCTTTCCCTTCTCCAGGGGATCTTCCCAACCCAGGGACTGAACCCAGGTCTCCCATATTGCAGGTGGATTCTTTACCAGCTGAACCACAAGGGAAGCCCAGATATTTGAGATAAGTACAATGGGAAAAAAAGGATCTTTCTTATATATAATCAACTTAGCTGTTCCCTTTTCAAAATTAATACAAGTTCCTCATTAGTGAAGAGATAAAATAAATGTGAATGAACAACACATGGCACTAAGAAAAGATCAACCTCTCAAAACAAATCACAGCAACTAAATATGCAAAGTAAAAGATTTTGGTGAAATGTTTATTTTTAAATGGCAACCTAATTCTAAGACAGGCATCTTCTCCAAAATACACTCTAAGATATCTAAATCTCACACTACACAAGAAAATACTGCTAGTTTAGAACATTTACCGCATTAAAACCTACAGAAAAATCAAAAGCAATTTTCTTAACCAACACAAAAAGGGAAAAAACAAAAAGTCCCAAAGTTAAAGAAAACCTCCTTCCAAAACTACAACAGATTTGGCATTTAATTTCTCTTTTCACTGAAAAGTCAGAAAAGAATAATCTAAATTACTCTTTCAAACAGGTCTTCCCTTTAGTGGCCTGGTTGAGAAAGTTACTCAGTTGTCAGTAAAGTCAAGGCTTCATCCAATACTATGGGGTTCTGCCAATTTCACTCTTCTGAGGCTTCAGTGAAAGGTTTGATCTGGATCAGGAGCCTGCAAAGAGCTGCCAAGAGGGCTGGTGCACAAGCCTGGGCAAAACATGCCCTGGTCAACAACTCAAATCAGTGGGCCCTATTGATGATTCCTAATCAAAGGACAGTAGATAAAGAACTGTTGGAACTGTTCACTTGAAAAACTAAAATATACATTTAATAGCTCTAGAATATCATCAGTCAGGTTTTTATTGTTTTTAAAAATATATTAGTAGTTTCTTTAGGGAAAAAAATAAACCAACCATTACGAAACTAACTTAAGATATGAAAATAAGAAGCTACAGTATGGGCTTACATCCTCCTCTCACGAAAGTTTTCCCAATGTTAGAGATACGTGTAGGTGTGCCTACTATGACATGGTGAGAATAAATTTAAAATTTCTTCAACTCGGCACTGCATTTTTATTATTAGAAACTAAATAAACCCAAAAAAATGCAAGCATCATTACCATACTTGGTGCCTCCAAGTCTAGGAACATTGAAGAACTTCTTATGTGAACTGTCATTTAATGTTTCAATAAGGTACTCAAAGGCATGTCCTGGAAAGAAAAAAAAGAAAAAACCTTTCATTATGCACTGTTACAAAGTGCCTTATTCAAAGTGAAAACACCTAGAAACCAGATTTGTCCAAGAGAATTTTCTCCAATGGCACAAATGTTCTGTATTTGAGCTGTTCAATAAGATAGTCATTAGACACATGGGGCCACTGACCACTTAAAATGTGGTTACAGGGACTGAGAAATCCTTTCAAATTTTATTTAAGTAATTTAAATAGTCACATGTGCCTAGTGTCCACTGTACTGGACAGTACAACTCTAAACCATGACTCTCAAATAAAAACTGGTAAAATAATTAACTGAAATGCGGTAATAAAGAATACCTGGAAAGGGACAATAAGAATGATTTAAATGATGTATAGACACGTTTGTGAAGACAAGTCCTGAAAACTGCATAAATACAAACAGGGCAAACTGAGAACACCACAATTATGTTAGAACCGATTTTTAAAAAATAATCAAAAGACGTTTACACAGCATTCAACAACATGAACAAAATCAAAACCAAACCAAACAACTTATCAGATAAGACCTTAATAGGCCTTAAGCCTAAAGGTAAAAGTGAACAACAAAATATCTGGGTAAAATAACAGATTTTCCCTAAAAGACCCGTCTTTCTGGTTTTGCACGAATTGAAGCTTAACTACGAAGACCCAGGGGTCTCATTTGAATGTGCCCCTGCTTCTAAGGTTCTTGGGGGAAGTGGAAGTAACCTTGAGGTTACAGAACCTTGAGATCTTTTGTGCAGACTCACTGCGGTGGGTGGGCAGGACCCCCAACACTTAGGAGCTTGGTCTGCAATGAGATGCGATAAGCACAGCCCACTTTCTAAGAGTACATAACATTTTTGTTTTCTGCTGAGGGGGAAGCGAGGAAGGTGGATGGTGGGGGAGGAGACCCAGCTCTGCAATAAATGGTCAGAGAACCGGCTGACCAGTGTTCGGCCTTGACCACCCCCACTATGCTACTAGAGGAAAAGAGAGAGGGAGGGGCTCGAGTCCGGACAGCGGAATAAACAACTAGCTGCGTGAGACCCAAGCGATGAGACACTGGCCCCCATCCTCATCTCTTACAAATGGGGGCGGGGGGGGGGGGAGAAGAAGATGGTGGGCCTTTCCTCGACCCTAGTGCCACTAAGGAATATCGGAAAGCCCTGGCAGCCAACAGCGGCGCCAACAAGCTGAGGCCGCCAAGGGTCAAAGCCAGCGGCGGAGCAGACGTCCCCGGCGGGGTCACGCTGAGGGGCGAGGGCTGCGAGGCCGGGCTCTCGCGGCCTAGGCGCAGAGAGTGCGGCCCAACAAGCAGGCCCCTGGGGAGCAGGACCTGAGCCCGGAGGGCCCCCGCGCCGGCAAAGCGACTCCAGGCGACAGAAGCAAAGAACTCGGAGCCCGGGTAGTGCGCGTCTCCATTGCCAGATGCAGTTGGCGGACTGAAACTAACCTGCACTTGGGGCGTCCATCGCCGGAGACCATATTATCCCTGCGGGGAGGGGGCCCGCGGGGGAAGGAGGGGGAGGCCGGGCGGGGAAGAGGGGGAGGAAGGCAGACGGACCGGCAAGGGAGGAAGGAAAAGAGCAGTCTCGCGCAAACACCGCGAGAGCCGCAGAGCCGGCCTCAGGTCTCAGCTCGCGGGATTTGCCTCCCAACTCTCGCGAGATCCTCGGACGTAGAAACAAAGAAAGAGAAGGGGGCGGAGCAAGGCGGAATTCTATTCTTTGCGCAGTCGCTTCTGTTCTCAAGAGTTGGGGCGAAAGGCAGGGGAGGCGGTGGCGTAGGCGTCACTGGCTTTGCCCTCTTAAAGATCCGTTACATAGTTGTAGCCTCAAGTGTCCAATTGGGTTGTGAGGTTCATCGGTGTATGGGCTCCTACAGGGTATCCGGTGGGGTGTATGTGTGGAGGAGCAGGAAGGTCGGAATTGGAACTCCTACGAAAAACAACAAGGAGAACCGCTTTCTCCTGAAGATGAAGCTTTAGGTTAAACTTGTCACATGTGCAGCCTGTAGTTCTCTGGAGAGGGTGGTAGGCCTGATAGGCACGTAGGAAGCGCTCAACTAATTGTTGAGTGAGTTTTCCTTACACTCTTGTAGCTTCAATCTCTCCCATTCTACTGACTTCTTCCTAGCGGCTCTTACATGCTTAAGTCTCCAACCTTCCTCTGCCTCAGCTCCTCACGTCCCTAGTTCTTGTCTTATCTCCCGTTGGCAGCCAACTTTACAGAAAGAGGTGTTTGTGCTTTCCCTTCCCCTCCCACTCCTTATCCCTCTCCAATCTGCTTTTCACCCCGTAGAAATACCTCTGGCCAAAGTCAGCCACAACTCCATTTGCTAATCTCACGTTTCTCAATCTTTACTTGACCTCTCCCCTTGAGAAATATTCTTCCATCAGCTTTTGTGATCTCAGACTCCTATTCTTAGTGTTATTTTTTTCTTCCTATCCTCTAAGGCTGCTCCAGCTCAGTCTCCTCTGCAGGTCCCTTCTCTGCCCAGCCATTAAATGTTGGGGGTATTAAATATACCCCAGAGCTCTGGGCTTGGATTGATACCTCCTCTCACCATCTTCCCTAGCACATCCCACCTTCTCCTTTGATTTCAGTGATTGTATACTGTTGCTTTCCTGTCTACCTGAGACTCAAACACAGCACCTGAGCCCAGAGGTGTATGTTTTAGTACCTACTAAATGCCTCCACCTGCCACAGGCACTCAGACTCAAAATCCCCAAAATGGAACTCATCATTTCCTCCCTAAATGCCACTGCTCCTTTTGTATTGCCTGTATCAGTGAATGGCACATCAACTGCTCAGTTACCTATGCCAGATACACATCATTCTTGGTACTGTAGCCTCTACATTTAATCACTGATGCAACAAGCCCTGTGGAAGTAGACCCCTTTATGCTTCCTCTATTTATGTGGGGGCTTCCCAGGTGGCACTAGTGGTAAAGAAACTACCTGCCAGTGCAGGAGGTATACGAGATGTGGGTTCCATTTCTAGGTTTGGAAGATTCCCTGGAAGAGGGCATAGCAACCCATTCCAGTATTCTCGCCTGGAAAAACCCAGGGACAGAGGAGCCTGGAGGGCTACAGTCCATAGGATCACAAAGAGTCAGACATGATTGAAGCTACTTAGCACAAACACATTGGAGGAGGCAATGGCACCCCACTCCAGTACTCTTGCCTGGAAAATTCCATGCACGGAGGAGCCTGGTGGGCTGCAGTCCATGGGGTCCTGAAGAGTCGGACACGACTGAGCGACTTCACTTTCACTTTTCACTTTCATGCATTGGAGAAGGAAATGGCAACCCACCCCACTGTTCTTGCCTGGAGAATCCCAGGGATGGGGGAGCCTGGTGGGCTGCCATCTATGGGGTCGCACAGAGTCGGATACGACTGAAGTGACTTAGCAGCAGCATCGGCACAAACGCACAGCTTAAAAGCTGATTCTGGGCTTTCTGCACCAAGCCATTTTAGATTAGGAGGTTATTATGGGCTTCCCTGGAGGAGGAAATGGCAACCCACTCCAGTATTCTTGCTTGGAGAATTCCATGGACAGAGGAGTGTGGTGGGCTACAGTCCATTGAGTTGCAAAGAGTCAGGCACGACTGAAGTGACTTAGTACACATTTATGTACCTTTCTAACCATTTCTTCTGCCATCACCCAAGTTTATATTTGAACATTTCCTGTATAGGTGACTATGACAGTTATCCTCTCAAAAATAGCCTATGACATGAGTACTAGGGAACAGCAAGTGAGATACTACAAAGTCACGGAGAAGTGATTCTGCCTAAAGGAAGTTTTCCAAAAGGGTATTAATGACAGGTATGAGATACAAGATCAAGTCCTGACTTAGTCACTTGGTAACTAAATACTGAACATTTCTAAGTTTTTGGTTTCATAATCATGAAGATGATGATTATGGTAGTACTCAAGTCCTAGGCTCTTTATTGCCAAATTCAGACTTAAATTGAAGAAAGTGGGGGAAACCACTAGATTGTTCAGGTATGAGCTAAATCAAATACCTTATGCCTATACAGTGGAAGTGAGAAATAGATTTCAGGGACTAGATCTGATAGACAGAGTGCCTGATGAACTATGGACAGAGGTTTGTGACATCGTACAGGAGGCAGGGGTCAAGACCATCCCCAATAAAAAGAAATCCAAAAAAGCAAAATGGCTGTCTGAGGAGGCCTTACAAATAGCTGTAAAAAGAAGAGAAGTGAAAAGCAAAGGAGAAAAGGAAAGATATACCCATTTGAATGCAGAGTTCCAAAGAATAGCAAGGAGAGATAAGAAAGCCTTCCTCAGCAATCAATGCAAAGATATAGAGGAAAATAATAGAATGGGAAAGACTAGAGATCTCTTCAAGAAAATTAGAGATACCAAGGGGATATTTCATGTAAAGATGGGCTCAGTAAAGGACAGAAATGGTACGGACCTAACAGAAGCAGAAGATACTAAGAATAGGTGGCAAGAATACATATAAGAACTGTACAAAAAAGATCTTCACAACCCAGATGATCACGATGGTGTGTTCATTCACACTCACCTAGAGCCAGACATCCTGGAATGTGAAGTCAGGTGGGCCTTAGGAAGCATCACTACGAACAAAGTTAGTGGAGGTGATGGAATTCCAGCTGAGATATTTCAAACCCTAAAAGATGAAACTGTGAAAGTGCTGCACTTAGTATGTCAGCAAATTTGGAAAACTCAGCAGTGGCCACAGGACTGGAAAAGGTCAGTTTTCATTCCAATCCCAAAGAAAG